GGTTTTTGCTGACATTTTTTATATTGTGGAAAGTAGCCTGTGTTTTTAACTTGAAAAAACACACCCTTTTTGAACTAAAAAAAAGTCTAGAAAATGACAGAGATTTTTGCAATATGGATAAAAAATGTAGGTGAAGTACATTTTCATAGTTTATCTTATTAGCTTTATGCTAATCTTAGAGCAGCTACTGGAAGCAACCAATTACTCTCAGTCAACAGTGAACTTACCTGATGGCAATATTGGAGCGTGACATGATTCACAAATATTCTCTTCTGTGGGAAAGCCAAAAACAACAGAGCATTATAGTGGGAGTAATTTGGTTTGATAAAAAGAATTGGCAGCATTGATATCAACAACACACCCTTAAAGAATCAGTAAAAAATAACTGGAATAGAGTTCTTAGACAGACGTAAGGGAACATTTAGAAAGGATTTCACAGGGAAGAGCGCACAGGTTTCATGAACAGCTCAAAATCCAATTCTGTGTTATGAAATAATACAAACCTCCACGGGCTGAACAGCAGATTTCTTTCTTTTTTATTTCAAGTCCTTCATGACTCAATCTTAACAGTGTTTACCAAAGCAAATTCCAGCAGTGTACCTTTTCTATACTAAGAGATCACATGTTGTCCTAGGTAATTTCTGTTTCTGGTGTCTTGGTTTTAGGCAAGGATGAGACGGCAGGCGTTTCTTTAACGTGCAGGAGGACAAAATCAGGTAGTGGTCAATCAGCATTACCGCACCGAGGACAGGTGTAGTGAGAAAAAGCCAGTGAAATCATCTTCTATGCTGGCCCCCATGTTACTGCTGCCTACTGCTTAGACACAGCAGCAGCTGATTCATTTAAATTGGGTGGGTGGTGACCTGGTGTGACTGTGAGATCATAGATCTGTTGTCTTGCCTTGCTCAGAAAAGACCAGGAGGAATGAATAACATACATACATAACAAGCATAAGAAGGTGAATACACATAAGTAAGGGGGAGAAAGCTACTGTATTTGAAACCAAACAACCAAACCAAACAAACAAACAAGCTATCTAGGATCAAACAAACTACAGTAGAATGCCCAACTGGTCTCCTCTCATTTGTACCTCATAATATAAAACAAGAAAGAAAATGTCTGGTCAGGGCTGCTTTTATGACTGACGTACTCCACACTGTAAATCCGTTCATTTTTATTACAAATTGACAGGACCTCAATCCCAAATTGTGTAGGTTCTTATTAAAACATACCGTCCACCCGGACACCTCTCATCTGAGTTCTCTGCATTTTCTTTAGCAGTGATAATGAGTCTGCAACCAATATCTTCTTACAGCCTTCTCGAAGTAAAATCTGTGGAAAAGAGAAACAGCTGATGGGGAATTATGTCACCTGCTTTTGGCAATGTTAAACTACTGAATTCTACTGCATTTATTTAAAGAACAGTCATGGTTTGTTTTTGAAATTGGTCACAGAGCTCAGTTTTCTAACTCTTCTTCACAATATGTAATCTCTGTTTTGTTGGCTTTAACAACCCAAATTGTTCTATTTTTGCTTTATTAAATTGCTGTTACCAATAGATAACAGAATATTAATTTCTTCAGACATTTTCTGTTGCCTTTAACCAATATCTCTTTTGTCAAACTTGTGCTGCCTATCAACGTTAATCAGTTTACACAAATAGTTCACAGCACACCAGACGCGTGGTGCAACCTGTTCTTATAGCCTACAGCCATGATCTAAGCGTTAAGACTAAAATGGCCTTTTTTGGGCTTCAGGCTTATATTTTTACTGGTGTCAAGTCTCCCTGTGTTAAACCAATTCTGCTGCTGACTTCAACAATTTTGCCTATACTAAGGAAGGCAGACAGCTGTTTTTTCCTTATAAAAGCCATTGTATAAAGAAGAGATCTTTCAGTAATACTGTACCTTTCCAACCTCACACCCTGCATGATCAACCCTGATGCTCAAGTATCTGTTCATGCGGTGTCAACATGCAGTGAAAACAAATGCCTGGATAAGGCACACAGACTCAGCTTCATTTGGACTCTAATGGAAAAGGTGGAAATTATTCTCCTGCGTTTCCTGCCTTTCATTACGTCTGAGTAGCTTAATACTTATTTTTTCATCAAGGTGCAGTAAAGAAGGACTCTTGGTTAAATTATACTGCAATTTTACTGCAATTTTCCCTATAAAGCTGAGTAATAAAATTGTACTTCTAGGAAACCTGTAACTTGAGACTACAGTATATACTGTATATTTATATAATGAAAAATACCTACTATAACCTCACAATTGCCATGCAGTAAATAGTGTAAGTGATGCTGCTTGATAAATTGGGTGGGTCTCATCACGTCAGGCAAATACAAGCTTATCTATTTTTGTCAAAGTGCCTGGGCTCCTCACTGCCTAGTATGCTGCAGACAGCTGCTGACACTGCACTGCCACTGCGTATCATAGCACTGCACAGTTCAAGAGAACACATGAATAAACCATGAATCTGTTGAGCAGGGACAGCAACAGCAACAACAACATTAATGTTGCTAATTCAATGAAGAAACTGTAACAAAAAAATAAACCGACCAAATCATATGGAGTTGTGAGGGGCACAATACAGATGTATGGTCACCATTGGTTAAAACAGCGCAGGGAAAAGGTCTGTTAACCCCAAAGATAAGTATGGAATTTTTTTTAGTTTTAAGATGATATGAATCAAAACCAGTGTGTTTACACAATATCTTCTAGGGATTACAGCAACCAATTCCATGTCTCTAGAAACAAAATGATGTATGAATTAAACAATGAGTAATTAAGGTAAAGGGGATGTGAAAAAGTAAGTGAACAGTTTATTAGAATCAGGTGTTTAAATAATTAGGTAGATCCTGGATGCTGCATTTGGAACATAAACAGATCAGAAACATTGTGATTTTGATCCTCATCATAGAGGTGTGGTTAAAACTAGAAACAAGTCATGTCAGGATCATAGGAAATCTCTGAGCTCCTCAGAAGACCTGTTACTGATCCTCACCATTCGGGAAAGGGTATAAAACTATATCTAAGAGCTTTTCCACCAGTCCACTATCAGACTACAGAAAGTTTAAGACCAGTCACTCTACCCAGGAGTGGCTGTCCTACTAAAATCTCTCTAAGAACAAACCGGAAAGCAAGGAAGTTACACAAAATATCAGAGTAACATCCAAGGAGCTGCAGGCCACTCTAGCCTTTGCTAATGTGACTGTTCATGACTCAACTATGAGAAAAACGACTGATCAAGTATGGTGTTCATGGCATCATAGCCAAGGAGAAAACCACTGCACTCCAAATAGAGCACTGCTGCCCATCTGATGTTCACCAAAGAGCACCTGCTCTCTGGACAGATGAGTCAAAGATAGAACTCTTTAGTCTCAATGAGAAATGTTACAGTATGTTTGGTGGAAATCAAGCACTGTTTTCAAACAGAAAAACATAATCGCAACCATCAAGCACGGTGGGGTGGGAGTGTGATAACTTTGACCCCTGATGGCTTGCCATCATTAACGCAAGCATGAATTCTGCATTGTATCACAGGACTCAACAGAAAGTGGGTCAATCACCCAAAACAGAAAAGCAGATCTAACAACCAATGGCTGCAGAAGAAATTCCACATTTTCGATGGCCCAGTCAAACTCTGCACCTAAATCCCATCAAAATGTTGTGGCAGGACCTGAAGCAAACTGTCCATGCAAGGCAGCCCTCAAAAACCTGATCAATAATAGATTGATCAATGGTAACAAAAACATTTAGTTGTAGTTATTGCTGCTCAAGGGAGTGTACCAGTTAGTGTACCAAAAGGTTCACATACTGTGTCACACAGTGATACAGAATGTTACATCAATTTTGTACAGATCAATGTCAAAGCAGTATCATAGTTTGTTTCATTTGGTGAATTTTATTATTAGGACTTAGATGGGGATCTAATAACATTTTAGATGTTAGATTGTGAAATATGTGAAAATCCTGAGGATTTCTCAAACCTTTCGCTTTGTACATTACACCAGAACTGTTAGGAAGACTGCTGATATCAAAACTCAGTATTACTACACAATGCTTTCTATTTGTGAGACTGCAGCAATGTTTGAAGAACATTAACCGATACATTAAGAAAAAAAACATTCTTGTTTTGCTCTGTTTTGTTCCAAAAGGTCACAAAATACTTCTCAGACATTTTAATATACCCTACCCCATCACCTCAAAACACAGTTTGGAATCGGCTATTGCTGATCATCTCAGCTCACTGTTACCAGCTCAATGAGGATGTAGCAATCCAGCCCCTGAAACACGCAGCTGTCAGAGTTCTCATTTCTGCCATTTTCACATTGCGAGCCCCAAAGGACTCAAAGGACAGTTACAGTAACTTAGACTGGGGCGATGCAGATCTCACGACAGCACTAGCACTCTAGCTGACTCAAGCCCATCCGACTCTGGTAGTGCTCGACCAGTTGTGCATCACACATGGCAAATCCCAGCCACAGTCAGCTAACAGCATCTACCAGTGTTAAACAAGTAATGTCTGGACTAAACCTGCACTCCAAAGGAAACAAAAACATTCCCATACCGTGCAACACCTACAGATATACTGTATATACAGTATAAAGTATTGGTTATTCTTGTGATTCTTGTGATTAGAATTATTCATCACAGTAAAAGTTACATTCAAAACACACAGCATGCATTTCCAATAATTTTGCTGAAGAGCTTCAAGCAATCATAATGACCGATAAGACTGTGGAAGGCAGAGCTCTTCCCATACTTGCAAGTTGTAGTCCTGAAGGATCTTGACTAATGAATCTCTCAGGTTCGGGATTTCCATGCCTTCCTTGATGCGGTGAATCAGGAGGATAGGATCAACATGGGTTCCAATGTTATTCAGCAGGCCTGTGATAAAGGCTGTACAGAAGAAAGTGATCTTGTTTGAAGAATACATCATCATTAGTTGGAAGAGTTAATAAACCCTCATCAGTTTTGGTGCATTTCTGTTTAGTATTTCAATTGTCTTTGCATATTTCATAGAGCTCAATTAACTTTTTAATTTTATTGTCTGACACGTTTTTTCTCTACAATTTTGAAAATCTGTTATTTTGCTCAAATCCACTATCCACTAAATGCGATATAGTTGCTAAGCACCTCTGATCCTTTTGCACAAGAAAAAACTAGCTAAGATTAATTTAAATTAGCTGAAAAAAGACCTAAACATAAGTACATCCATGAGTGCTGTATTTTAACTATTTTAACATACCCAGATACACAAAAAGTATAAGTATTTATGTGTGCTAAATTTAATATGGAAGTATTATTGGCATGAATGGACATTACATACCCTGGACATAAAATACAGTACACATTTCAAACAAAGATTTGGTTATTGCAAATTTATCAGTTAGTGCTGGTATGATTTTAATATTTAAGTCAGGCAAACTAACTTTCAACTTAAAGTTCCTGACTGACTTTTATGGTCAGCTTGGGGTGTGACAGAAAATACTCTTTTAGCTGTTAAGTTCACAGTTTTAATGGAGCATCATCATGTTATGAAACTAAAAGACAAACACAAAAATTGTACACGACTAGCCTTCACAACTGGCTTCCCTGTAACCTGAAATACTACTGTTTAATAAAATGGCACTGACATTTTTGTTATGTTAACAAAAAAAAACAGCTAGTTATCCACAGCAGCTTATGACTGTGAGACTCACGAGGCTTGTCAATGGAATAGGAGATCAAGTCTTCCCACAGCTCAGCGTCATCCTGCTCCTTGGCAAACTCAATGGCCTTGTCTACATCGTGGAGCTCTTCCATTATCATCTGTAGAGCCCGTCGACTGTTGCCCATCCTGCCTGCAGGGGTAATTACAGTTATTGTACAGAGGCAGTTTCTGAAGGTAAATCCACTTCAAATGATCTGCGCTTGGGATCTCAAGCGCTCTTCTATTACCTTTGGAGGCAAGCAATTCTTTCAAGTCTTCCCCTTTCATTCAAATGTGAAGATTTATTATTTCATTACTGATTAATTTCTCTTTATATGACACCTCAAACAGCTTCCAACCTACCTGAAACTCGTGATTCCATGACTCTTAATAGATTCTATAATCAATAGTACAGTTTTCAGACAACTGTGTAATAAGATAAAAAGTCCAAGCTATTGAATAACTCATTTCACTTTAATTGGGTAATTATTGTCAAACAGAGAGCCTTCGTAAATTTCATGAAGATGAAAATCCATCATTTAAGCTGCTCTTGCACATGAAAAAGAAAGGCAGGGATGAGTTATGAAGAGACCCAAAGTGCAGCAGATACCAAAAATTACAACACAGGTCTCCGCTGTCTCAGAACAGTTTCTCTGAGGATTTTAAAATGGCATGCTTGTGTTCAAGTACTGTATACCCAAACATCTGAGGAGAGGAGAATAGTCTATGAGGGTAATGCCAATAAAGCAAATGAAATTAATAAGAATGAACCCTGAAAATGAATACTGTACAACTTCAACAATTAAATAAACAGTTCTTAAAGATTTTTTTTTCATCTTCATCTTCCTTTCCCATTCCTTCTAAGTGATAGATGTTCTGAGGTGATAGATTTTCTCTTTACATTGCTCAAATCCATTATATCCATTATATAAATGGTATATCACAAACTTGCATGGGACATCCCTACAATTTCCTCTTATACAATGAAGCACTTTTTAAATTTCCTCAATAAATAATCCTGTCATCTGTTCCTGATAAAAATTCTCCTGGAGAGTGTCTTGGAGACATTACATTGGCATTGGCATGATACTTCCACAGAGATACATAAAACCTTATGGACATTTTTGCACAGTTTACAAGCTCTGAACTCTGTGTATCAACAGTAATAATAATTCCTACTAGTGGGACCTAAAACAAAGATTTTAATCCTATATTGTGGGAGCTGGAAAAATAATAGGAGCCTCTTTGCTGGCAACAGTGGGTGCATACTATAGCTCCTTGTTATTGTTTCAGTTAATCTCAAAGAGGCTTTTTAAAGCCTTCCTGTAGAGCTATAAATATAACCCCTATAATTTTCCCTTAGTACAGGGGTGTCCAGTCCTGGTTCTGGAGGCCTTCAAGGTTTCTTTGAAGCTGCATCGCCAGAAGAGCTGTGACGAAGTCTTTAATTTGTACAGTTAAGCGAGTAAGCAGCTTTAACTTGTTAAGAACAGAGCTGGAATGAAACCCTGCAGACTCAACATCCAGGACCAGGACTGGACAGCCCAGCCCGACTATAACAGATGCAATCTATATTCTAATGCAATACCGTATATAAATATACTCACTTAGCAAAAACACAGTCTCCTCCACAAAGTTTCTCTGTTGACAAACTTCAAGTGCCTGAAACACACAAAAATAATTATGCTTTTCAATATCATGCTTGCTTTCTTTGCTGAACTATGATACTTTCATAATCCATTTATACAATTAAAGGAATTCTAGATTTCCATTTCACTAAATAGTAAGACTATGCTTTAAAAGCATACCTTGACAATGGTAGAAATGTATTAATCCTAATACCGTTACAGATTAACAATGAACTTCCATTTCAGTTAAAATAACTGAAAAGGGCAAAAGTTAATGAATTCCTCCATCAGGGTGGCTCTATGGATTAGCATGTGGATGTCAAACTCTGCAAGGAATTATAGGCAGTCTAAAAAGGTGAATGAGGAGACAGGTGAAAATTATGTCAACTTCCAATTAAGCATCTGTTTGATGTAAAGAAGTCATTTAGACTTCAACTGACAAGAAAACCAGAATAAAGTATGTTGAATTTGGGCAGCATACGAGGTGGACACCCCTAGATAATTACATTTGTGGGAAAAAGAGACTTTGCTGACTTGTGGTGACTGCCATCTGGTGGTGATACTGTATATAACCAGACAAGCTTTCTCCATGTACTGTACATGCCATGGTAAGAGATTTATCTTTTAGCAAAGGCTGTCTGGAAATATTCACGCTATGAGTATACAGATACATTTATCATCCTTTTCGTTTCAGCTTTTTTAATCTTCCAGAATTCCAAGTTGTAAAGAAATAAAATAAGGTTATTAAAGAGAATAACAGTGTGGACATCAGATTAATAAGATAAGATCACTTTGTTAGCCATATACAATTTCTTTTTTCTTTTCCCATACCCCAGCTTGCTCTGCATGAGACACACAGGCACACAGGTGGGGAGAGAGAAGCTTGGGATCAGAGGGGAGGGTCAGACATTTATTCTTTCATAACGCTGTATTTTAACTATACCTACTCACTATTCAATATATATGAATATAAGAACAGAAATGTTACAAACAGTAGGAGACAATTCATCCAACCTGGCCCATTTGGTAGTCAGCAGCTAATTTATCTCATCCTGCTGTTTCTTGAAGGAAAGTATTTGCTTTAGCCAAATGACTGGGTAGCTTGCTCCATACTCCCACAAGCCTTTGAATAAGTTTCATGTTTCACTATTCATTTGGACGAAGTTCACTGTGTTAACTGTATTGGGAACTCTGTAACTCTTCTCTATTCAGGACTAGAAAGGTTCCGTTTTTTTGGCTTTTCAGTGTAGAGCAAGCCCCAGACTAAATCCAGTTGTTCTTCTTTAGAAGAGTCCAGGGCAGAAATATATATTTTTAGAATGTGGTGACCAAAATTGTACAAAATATTTTAAATGAGACCTTGCTTATTTTTTGTTTTTAACGATACTCTACTGTACATCCTAACATTTTTTGTCTTCTTAATTGCTTCCCCACATTGTATAGAAGATGTAAATGATGTGTCAATATAAACACCCAAATGTATTTCATGAGTAGCCCATTCTAGCTCATTTTGTATTTATAGTTATGTTTATACCACCTGGGACATTCTGCACCTGATTTACATTTAACGGCATCTGCCAGGCGTTTGCACAGTCTTGGATGTTTTCTAAAACATTTTGATTTAATTTGTTTCTTCCAAGGTTTTAGCTAGTCCTCCTAATTTACTATCATCTAAAACTACACGAGTAGTTTGTTGTCTATATTGGAATGCAGACCATTGATATAAATAAGTTATCCCATTAATTAAATTGTCCCAATTTAGGTACTCACCTATTTTCTGTACCCTCTGCTTTCTATTTAAAACCAATCCCCAACTGAAACATCCATGTTTCCCTGAACACCTGCTGCCTGCATATGTGTGAATTAATCTTATATGATTATACTTTAACAAAAGCCTTCTGGAAACCTAAATTAACTATTTCATCAGCCTTGCTTATATCAATTACTATTGTTGCTTGATAAAGGAAATCTAACAAGTTGATTAGGCAAGCCCTACTTGTAAATCTGTGTTGACTGTTTCCTACGACATTACTTTCATAAAGAAGGTCCCCTAGTTTTGTTGTAATAATTATTTCCATAACCTTGTTCTGTCCAGGAAAAAAGAGCAACTGTTAGTCCCACCTTGCGTCCTGTGCTTTCAGGATAGACATTTGCTTTCTACAACCCTTGACAGGATAAGCAGCTTTCTGATAATGGATGGACAGATGGATTTATGCAGGGAGAGGGGGCAAGGCGGGTGCTCATGGGTTAAGAACAGATTTCTGAAAATAGATTTCTGAGGCAGAAAATGGTGCTCAGGACCATTGCACTGCCATTCATGTTACTGCATACACTTTGAAGAGGAGAATGAAATGTTCACATTTGCCAAACACCTCTTGGGTAACTCATACATCAATTATAAATGTATAACTGATGAGATAATAAATGCAAATAAAAAGAGACACAGATGTAATGGGAAGGGTATATGAGGTCAGAATTTTCATAAATGTATTTTTGTGAAAGAAAAAAAAACAACTAAGGTTACAACAAATGCCTGCTTTATATTACCATTCATTTGTTTGACGTCTTCTGACTTAATACATTGTGAAATGTCTTTGAACAAACAGCAGCAGTAATGGATGCAAAGAGAGCATATACTACAGCAATCATAATAATAAAATCATATTTTTAAATTATAAGCAGTAAGAATTAAAATTATTCACTTATTATGCAGTTGGAATTAGAACGTCTCAGAAAGTCTCCCGATTGTAAAACAAGTGTAAAAAACAAAACAAAGTGCAAACAGTGCATCAAGACAATATACAAACAGTAGACAATGTGCAAGTAAACATGTAGACAGTTTGAATGTAAACAATACAGACGCGTAAACAATGACTGGAGATCTTTAGTTAATCAAACTAGTCACCAATTTGGCAAATGATACCAATATAAAAGGATCAGCAAAAATTGTAGAAACTGCAAAGGAAATTCATAAAGGCTTAATGAAATGAATCACCAGCAACCATATCACCATGAAGCTCACAACTGGCAACCCACTGAAGCTAAGGTGGTGTGAGTTATTGCTGGAAGTGGTGTTAGTGGGACCAGTAAGGGGTGCTCATCCTGTGGTCTGTGTGGGTCCTGATGCTCCAGTATAGTGACAGGAACACTATACCGTAAAAAGGCGCCATCCTTCGGGTGAGACATAAAACCATGGTCCTGACTCTCTGTTGTCATTAAAAATCCCAGGGTGTCTTTTGAAAGGAGTAGGTGTTACCCCGGCATCCTGGCCAAAAATTCCTATTGGTCTGTATGAATCATGGCCTCTGAATATCTATGAACTGGCTTCATCCCTCTGTTCTCCTCCCCACTGATAGCTGGGCAGTGGTGAGTGTACTGGTGCACTATGGCTGCTGTCACATCATCCAGGTGGGGCTGCAAACTAGTGGTGGTGGAGGGGAATCCCCATTAAAGTGCTTTGAATGGAGTGTTCAGTTATATAAGTGTAAGCAAAATATTATTATTAATAAAAAATAAAGAATGGACAAACAGCCAGCACATAACATTTCATGTAGACGGATGCAGAGTTTAACCTCCAGAACCTTGAACTATAGATATGAAATTGGGAAATACTGAATTTAGGAGTTAAAGATTTAGGTGTTTATATTACATTATTTATATCTTGTAGAAATGATGAAGCAAAATGGCAAATAATGAATAATAATAATAATAATAATAATAATAATAATAATAATAATAATAATTGCTTACACTTATATAGCGCTTTTTTGGACACTCCACTCAAAGCGCTTTACACGTAATGGGGACTCCCCTCCACCACCACCAATGTACAACATCCACCTGGATGATGCGACAGCAGCCATAGTGCACCAGAACGCTCACCACACATCAGCTATCAGTGGGGAGGAGAGCAGAGTAATGAATCCAATTCATAGATGGGGATTATTAGGAGGCCATGATTGATGAGGGCCAAAGGAAAATTTGGCCAGGACACCGGGGTTACACCCCTAATCTTTTCGAGAAACGCCCTGGGATTTTTAATGACCACAGAGAGTCAGGACCTCGGTTTTATGTCTCATTCAAAGGACGGCACCTGTTTACAGTATAGTGTCCCCGTCACTATACTGGGGCATTAGGACCCACACAGACCGCAGGGTGAGCGCCCTCTGCTGGCCCCACTAACACCTCTTCCAGCAGCAACCTTAGTTTTTCCCAGAAGGTCTCCTATCCAAGTACTGACCAGGCTCACACCTGCTTAGCTTCAGTGGGCTGCTAGTTGTGAGTTGCAGGGTGAAATGGCTGCTGGCTAAATGAACATTAGGATAGTTAAAAGTATAGAACATAGTATAGTACAAGTATAGAATTTAACATTAAGTTACAATTGTGCAATACACCGATTTTGGTCACTGTCCAAAGAAAAACAACTAGATAAATACTAGATAAATAGTCTTCTGATCTGATTTGTTGTAAGAACTGAATATTGTTAGTCATGAACAGTCCCAGTGGAATAACAGTGACACATGAGCCAAAGAACACAAATGTAAACTATAGGGAAGTGAGTTTAAAACAAGGAACAGGAGACACGTCTTTTCACAAAGGTCTGTGGGAGTATGGAATAAATTACACGGCCACAATTTTAAAGGTGATACCCTGGTTTCTTTGTAAGATTCATTTTGTGGAGTTTTCATGAGATGATCTGTACCTTCTCCAATGGGCAGTGAATGCTGTCTCTCAGGAAGGGCAGCAGGTTAGGGCGATCATATTCTGCGTACAATCCTATCTGCTTCTCATGGTACTTCTGTCCCTTGTGATGGTCTCTTTTGAACAGCTTATGCAGGTACTGGCAAAAGAATTATATACAGGAATTCAGCATCACAGAATAATGGTGACATTTCATATTTAGATAAGGTTGTTTAAAAAATGGAGGCCCCATTCATAAATGAAACACACTGATACAGAACTTCTAGTAACAGTCCTGCTCTCCACATCTCATTGGTATTTTCTTTGCATGCTTCCTGCCTATACTCTGTAGTGTGACTTGACTACAGGAAAACTGTCCGGCTAGCTTTGACTTTATATTTTTTTAAATGTATTTTGCATGATTAAGAGTCTCAATAATGTGCTTCAATGTACAAACCCTGGGGCCAAAATGAACTGATACATTTGAGTATATTACAAGTATCTGAGTGTATCATGTATTCTTCACATGTTTCATTTTTCTTTTACCAAAAATTACACAAATGATAAAAATAAAATCTGAAACAAGTACCTAACAACTTAAATTAAAATATCAAGGAAATTTCTATTTTGTATCACAATAATGTCATTTTTACAGTAGCTATCGAAACCACATGACTGGATTGAAGGGACAAAGACATTTCCATTGCCAGTACTCACTACATGCAGTAGTTCAGGACGATTCTTCAACTCCTCCACCACCCTGTCTATCTGTAGGAATGGAAAAATCAACATTCAAAAATGGAAACTTTAAGCTGCACTCTGCTCTCCTTTATCATTCCTATTACAGAAATTCTAATCAGGGTTGAACTCACCGAGATTTTGTCTTCATTGTCCAGCAACATATCAACAGCTTTCTGAGAAATGCAAAAAAGGTAAATTTCATTGTTCTGGTAAAAAACACTGTACCACAACTAGAAGCAGAGACTGCTTCAAGTTACACTTGAAGTGAGCACCCTTACGCTCGCACAGCTCAAAGTAAAGACTGAAGTAGTTCTCATCTCTTCACTTTCCCACGTCTAATCCTGTATGTGAAGGTGTATGACAGTAACACTGTACACCACAAGGAAAAATATTGGCCAGTTTCAAAGTGTTCAAAAAGTGAAAAACTGCAAAAAATACATCTAAAAGTACGCTATTTCCATTGCTTACTTTTATATGGTTTACCAATTCTGCTTAAGTTGAACAATAGTTGATTTAGATGATCACAGTTGAAACAAGTTGTATATTATTAACATCTTAGCTCCTTAAGCCATGAGCATGAACGCTACTGTACAATAACTGTTATCATTACTATCCAGAACACATTTTTATAGGAATATCCCTACACTTACCTCTTTGTCAAATTCCATCAAAAGAACGATTTTATCTTCAATTGAGGAAAACAGGTTGTGTCTATGAATAAGCTGATAGACATCTTTATGTCTCAGTCTCAAGTAGATCTCCAAAGCTTTGTCGTAACGCTGGTCATATGTAAACCTGGATAAAACATAGCAATTTCTATAACAGCATACAGTATTTTAAAAAAATATATGGCTTGACTTCTGGGAAAGTTGGCCCTGGTGTGAGTGTGTGCATGTACTGTATGTGTCTGTCTGCCATGCGACGGACTGATGTCCCATTTAGGGGGTACCCTGCCCTGAATCTGTTGCTTTCTGTGATAGGCTCTGGTGTTATCTACATTCAGAGACAGACTGTTGTTTAAGCACCTGTCCGCTAATTGCTCCACCTCCTCTCTGTATGGTGCCTCAAAGTTGTTACTAATGAGGCCCACCACTGTTGTGTCATCTGCAAACTTGATATAATTTCCGCTGTGTTTAACAGTGGAGTCATGAGTCATCAGCGTGAACAGGAGCGGGCTGAGGACACAGCCCTGGGGGGTTCTGGTGTTCAGTATGGTGGTACTAGAGATGTTGTTTCCAATCTGGACTGTCTGAGGTCTCTCGGTCAGAAAGTATTCTGATAACCCTCTCGATAAGATCTGTTAGGTTTATATGCATATTCTATGTATTAATAAATGTATCCTCGTGTATTAGTACCTGTGTGTGTGCGTTGTTTGAGTTATATCGCATGGTTGGATTCTAAAACCATCAAAAGAATCAACTTTGTGATTTACTGCTACAATTTATAATTGTTCCAGTAAATGATTAAACCCTACAGAACTGGTGCCTTCAGAGAGCCACTACATTTACATTTTGGCTATGGCAACGTTACATTCATGGCGTCCCTGAGTGGCTATGATTACATATTTGGCGTCCCTGAGCCGGTTTTCTTACAACTTGAAGAAAGGTACTTCGCAGATGACACTTCCAGTGCCTTTGCCCCCCCATTCTCCATGGGCCTTTATGGCCTGAAAAGGGACCTACCTATGTCATAGTAAAAATGTCAGATAACATTTAACTTTCCCAATACTTTCACTGGACACTGTACATGAAATGTGGTAAAATAATGGAGAAGAGCTTTTGGACAGACTGCCTATTTAAGCAGAGTAGCTGCTGCTCGGGGGTACTCACAGTTCAGCCAGAGTTGTCAGCAGTATCCTGTTTTCAGGGTCTTTCTTCAGGCGGTCCCTCACAGCCTGGACAATGGTCATGTTGTTATACAGCTCCCCTGGCCACTCTCGGATCAGCATAGCAAAGCCCTTGAATGTGAGACAGTGACATTGTCGCTTCTAGGTTACAACATTCGAAAAACAAAACCTGGTGCTATCAAAGTACATACAGGATTTGCTCATTTTGTAAGACAGCCTTTGACCTACAATGAAGTCTTCATACTGGGACCAGAAATCTCTAAAGGGCTTAAGAGTTGGGTTACAGCAAGAATTTGTTTTTCATCAGTGATGGGAAAGCGGCGTTTGCATTGTCTGGTGGCGCTGGGGCCCTCGGTTCAATTCCAGAGCTGGGGTGCTATCTATGTGGAGTTCGCATGATCTCCCCGTGTTTGTGTGTGTACCATACTGGTAGGTTAATTGCCTTCTGGGAAAACTGGCCCTGGTGTGAGTATGTTCTTGTCTGTGTTTGTGTCTGTGTGTGCCCTGCGATAGACTGGTGTCACTTCCAGGGTGTACCCTGCCGGCACTAGTTGCTTGCTGAGAAGGGCTCCAGCTCCCCCATGACTTTGATTTGGAAGAGGTTAGAAAATGGATGGATGGATGCATGATGGGAAAAGCATACCTGGCCCAAACAATCCAATTTTTAATTGACTAGCTGTAAATCTGCGAATTTTCCTAATATTTTATCAACAACATTAATCTTGAATTTTAGAAGTTAAATTGTGGGTTTTATCAAATGCTAGTCCCTCCCTTCAGGAACATTTAAGAGTACCTACAGTAAAAATAAGTTATAGTGTCAAATATGAAATGTTTTCACTGCTTATTATTATATTTAATACAGGTATGTTCGATGTCTTAAACTGGCATTTTTTGCAATAATTTGTTTTTGTCAAAGGTGAGATGGATTTTGGTTTCAGTTAGTATGGAACACCAAGATTCACAGTGGAAGATTCTTCATTCACTCTTTTACCCATTACCATTTTACCCTTTTTGTGAATGCCGGTTTAACTTTCTTAGAGTCTGTAAGCACTACTGGAGAAACATTTCAGCAGAAATCGACTACAATTTCCCATGTACAGTCCTTGGAAAGCCGTCCTTAGAACAGCCTTTTTCTAAGGACTGACATTTTTTGAGAGAAACAATTTCCTCAAAGTGTGGCAGTTAATGTCTAGTTGGTTAGTTCTAAACTAATATAATGAATGTCTTGAAACCATCATCTGAGAGATGCGAGCAGTGAATGATGACAGCGTACCTCAATATCACTCTTCAGGAAGTCGTGGAGTATCATTTCATAAATGGCTGGTCTCAACCGCAGGTCCCCTCTAGGTAAGTACTGACTGATGGCCTGCAAGTACAGGGAAGTGTGGTTCTCAATAAAGCAAAGGATCTGCATCAGCTTCTGATGAATATATATGTAACCTTACAACACAAAAATATAAGAACAGATATGCATTGCTTTTATAGTTTCATAGAAGAGTGAACATAACACTTTGAGCTCACAAATCACAGGTCTGAAACATATTTAATTCCCTGTTGCAACAATGCGTTTAACCTCAGTGTCTCTGCACCACATTTTCCTTTTAGTGTAATATTAGTAAGAACAAAATCATACTTAGGGTTACCAGAGTGTGGCAGATCTAAATCAGTTTTAAAAGCTGTGAAAATCTTAAATATTTTGGTATGTGTAAGATATTTTGCTAAATATCAGTATATTTTAGATATCAGTAAAAAACTGCAATCTAGCCTTGAAATTCTAATTAATTCTCTCTCCTGGGTTTTTCAATGATGCTTACCTTAAGCTGTCCAATAGTCTTGAACCTGTACACTTCATTTTCCCAAAGGTCCATGTTTTTCCCCAGCACCTTCTGACATTTTCTAAACAGGAAGATAAATATGTCCTATCAGACACCCGTCACTGCAACCCCTCTGTATTTCACACAAGAATAAAGGAATGTGTACCTTGCAGCCATTTCATACTCCTTTTTCTCCACCAAGTGATTGATGTAGGAAATGCCGATTTTCTGCGCAAATAAATAAATTGACAGATAACCTATATACAAAGGAGACTGGCTATAAAACTAGACAACACTCCAAGAAGAGCAAACAGACACATTACCAAAGAAAACATTGAATATTTCTGAAAAGGGATCCACTTAATGGTGAGAGCTTTCCATGATTACAATTTAGTTACAACAAACGTTTGCCCAAATTAAGCAAAAATTCATAATTTCTTTAAAATTGAAAGTGCATTTCCCTTAAGTAATGAGAAAAACGAATCGAAAAACCCTACCTGAACATCGTGACGTTTTATATTTTTGTAGCTTATTTCAGCTGCCATCAGAGCTTCCTGCAAAAGGCAACCTGAGCTTCAGTTTCAAAACAGAATACTTCAGATACTAAAGGATCTGGGAACATCTGCTTTGAAGAAAATACAAAAGCATGTGTGGCACACTGCATGCGTTCAGAAAACTGATTCAAACCACAGTCTTAGGAACAAGGGACAGCCTCTGTGGCACAACCCACAGAAGTGTCAGGCCCGAGCTGTTAACAGTCTTCCCCCAGGCTGAGGAAACCTCAACCTTAAAGATCCTGTATACTGTAGTACACACAGAAGAACGCAATCGCACTCAAAAGTTCTCCAAGCAGAATGAAAAGCTTAAACACAAAATCCAAAATGCAGTTTAGACCTGATAAAAAAAGGGTGAGGCTAATATTGATTACTATTGAGAACTGGTTGTTAAACTTATGGGGAAGGGTTTCAACAAAGAGATGGAACATACGTGTTTGGAAGAACACCTTTTAAGATCTAACAATATCAGTTTTAAGGAGAACAAAAATATTTGAAAAGACTTCTCCAGGACCCTGACCACACGGTCTCCCCAGACGTGTTGTGTTTGTCTCAAATACGAAACTAAGAATCCATTTCTTTCATCCAAGCCATAGGCCTAACAAACGGCAGAACAAAATGTCATTGAAGGCTTGGCTGAATAATAAAATAAAAAAAGGGACAACTGAAGCGGCAAAGTAGCACTGAAGCTTACATCGTATTTTTTCTTTTCAAGGAGCCAGTCAATGTGGTCATCCTGGTCCCGCTCCTTGGCGACCACTATATCTTTAGGACTGATGATGTAGAACAAAGACTCGCCTTCGGAATGTTCTGTAAGGATAAAGGGTCCAGTTAAACAACAGGGCGGCCAAGTTGACTTAAAGTGTCCTTAACAAATCGACACTATGACTGAGGTTGAAGAAGAACAAAATTCCATTATCAGCAGAGGCAGAAATGTTATATTTTAGGTATTAAAATCATTTATGATTAACACGCTTATATGCCCTAATGGTATTCTATCAAAAGTACAGATGTTATCTGTACCCAATTACAGTAATACAACTTTTCAGTCACTCAAGGCAAATACCGTTTATTAGGCAAGAGCTTTAACCAATTAAGTCACAGTGCTGTCATAGACATTTCAAACGTCTAGTAAATCTTTATTTTAAAGATTGCACTATCCATAAAGCTAATTTTATTTTTTACAATTTCTCTACCTGTAGCGTTGGCTGTGAATTTGTAGCTGTTCATTTCTGGAGAAATGTGCTGGACCAGTGACCCCCAACCACAAAGATAAATCAGAATCAACGAAAATATGTAAATAATATTTAATTCTGTCATTTCCTTCTTGTTGCCTCTTGCCTATGCCCAAACATAGCTATTTTAGCAGTCCAATTAGGTAGCTGCGTCAGCATGCACAGGCTGCTAAGGAACAAGCAAAGGTTTATTCCATGCTGAAAAGAAATAGACACAATGTTTCAGATGTGGAGCCAATCGTCTCTTTTCTTTTCAGCATGGAATAAATCTTTACTTGTTCAATTTTAGCAGTCTGCCCTTTTTGCTGTTTTAAACTGATTATAGACGGTCGCAGAAAGACAAAATTCAGCAGTTTCTATTAAAACATTGTTTTGAGACTTTTGCAGGGAGCAGGGAAACCTGTTCAAGTAAACAGGTTAACCGGAACGCTTGTGTTTTGTTTACCCAGCCGGTAATCCCTGCACTCATTCTCTTGGAAGTTCCTGACGGTCAGCGCATCGGAGGAGATCTCCTCAAAGCTCTCTGAATGTGGCTGGATGATGTCCAGTCGAGGCCGAGCCCTGAATTCCTCCTCCTGCTGAAGAAAGACAGGTAGCTGCACAAACTGTCTTCAGGAAATGGCTGGAAGAAACCCTCAGATCAATCACCTCAAAGCAGTCAAACAAGAGAGAGGACCTCCTTACGTTAGCAAGAAACGTTAGTTTCTTGTGCTCTAAACCACAACATACGAGAACATGAAGAATCTTTGCTTTGATCCCACAGATATATTTTGCTAAAACATTTAAGACCCTGATAAACTGTATAGACTGTTTAATCCATGTACTACAGCCTCTACTTTTTAACATTTCAGCATGTCCATTTTTGCAAGATAGAGATGTCAATATGTCTGTAAGGAAAAAGAACTCAATTATTTATTCTTAAAGTGAAACGTTTTTTTTCTTTCTACATAAAAGATGTCACTTCAGCAGACAGCACAATTATAATTTGTGAGTAAAGTGGCTATTCTGCCAGCCTGCTGAAAGGGTGTTCACGATTAGAGCACTGCAAGTGTAAAAGCGATATAATAGGTATATTTTCCTATTTATTATGAGTAGAGAAACAACCTTCAGTACAGGCTTTTAGCTGGTCAACATGATAGCAATTGTGCAGCTGTGTCACCTAACTATAGGATTGACATATCCTACTTTCAGAGGTTTTTTAGGGGTTAAGCAGCAAAGTCAAGTCTTCCTAAAAACAGACCAGCTATCTGTATCAAAGAAATAGCAGAGCAGATATGCCAGTGATTTTATTCTGCTTCTGGAGGGTCAATACGGAGAACATATAGACAGTGTAAATCACTCAGGTGTTTTTCAATGAAATACTGTGATCACTTAGCGAAATACAAAGACCTGTTCTTTCTTTCATAGCGAACAAAAGTGGCTTGACACCTCCACAATGAGGCACCAATGCAAAGAATACCATTGACAAAGAAATACATCACTGAGTATTTACTTCAACCGTCTCTTTTTGCTTTTTTTTGGCTGAACGTTCACAACAAATGCTCAAAAGAACGACCAACGTGGACATTAGAATAGCTTCCTACCTGGTCATCCAAGATCTCCTTCACATAGTAGAGAACAACCACCTGGTCTGCAAGAGGCGCCAGCCCACTGATGAAGAACTCTGTCTCGAACGCAGACACTAGAAGAGGAAGACATGCACATTACAGCACAGACATGCATTTTAACAGGAGGCAACAGGGCACAACAAGCTGTATTCACACCAACCACTGCACATACACAATCCCATCCCAGTCTTGCACGTTAATATTTGAAGACAGAACACAATGCTGCTTTATCTGTGTACAAAGGATTCCAGATTGAAGCCTATTAGAACACAGTCATGACCCTGCTGTTTTTTTTTTATTCTCTCAGGTCTGTGTGGCAGCACCAGCTGGAAACATAATGTTGGAAATCTCCACCGTTTACTGACCTTTTAAAAAGCGGGATTGGAAAAGGTCTGGTCAAGTGTTAATACCACACGTCTAGTGAAATTCGGGTGTCAAAAGCAGCGCTCAAGCTGCTCCGGCTGCCAAGGCGACTTTTCACACTCGATGTCTAAGAGTCTAGAACATTTGATTTTCACTGTTGGCACCGCAAGGCATGTCACTGCTAATAGATCCACAAGCAAGAGGAGGGCCTGACTGATGCCTGCTTCTGTGAAAGCAGCAGATGTGCTTTCACGGAAGGAAAAAAAAAAGGAAAATGTTTCCTTTTCCTAATCATGGCATGAAAACTAACCTTTTACAACAGTGTGTCAGAAACCATTTACCCTGTCTGGATCTGAAACACAAGAGCATTTTTTTTTCTGCTGAGCCCACAGACTGTTCTCTATGTCTTGGCTCTTCAGTGGGTAAAGCTCTAAGGTCACAAATTCCCACTGCAAGCCTGCACATCTTCACAGCAGGTTTGTTTTGTGTGCCAACCACTCGCCCTCTCCCTTCTGCATGCCAACACTGTAACGTCAAGAGAAAATGCTGCGATTACCAATTTCAACGTAGCGGCTGGGTAAGTCTCTCATTTCTGTTGGGTCCCGTTCTTTCACTGCACAGATCTGGAAAATCAAAACGATAACAAAATGGATTTTAAAAACATATGTGTACCCCTCCATTTTAAAATCACATTATGGGTAGAAGACACAGGATCAATCTCATGACATTAAGACAAGGTCATAGCATTACTGGGGGGGGATGATTCTAGATCAGCATGTCTCCGTGTTAGTGGAAGCAATATCTTATGACTAAATTGTATTCAATCTTGTTCAGATGCCTAGAGAGGTTTCCAGGAACCCCTTGATTGCATGATTACCCCCCAAAAAAACTTATCATCACTGACCTAATGGATCCAAAAAATATATCTATATTTGATAACTTCTCTTATAGGGGAATCATTCAGCCTTGATGTTGGTGAAAAGGACTTCAGGCCTAAGGACAGTGTGAAATACAGGTCATAGAGCACAGAGCAGAGTAGATAAAACTGTCCCCAGTATTGTGTGCGACTCACCCAAAAATGCAGACATTTAGCACAATAGAAAGATTAAACACATTTTTGGACATAATGTTAAAATCCAGGTACAACCGAAAAGATGGTGCAGTGTGTTAAAAGCTGAATAGTTATCAAATAAGACCACCTTCTGCAGTACTGGATTCAGACTGGGTTTTGCGCTATAAAAAATGAGATTACGGCAGGTCTTCTTTTTATGGAAGGCCAAGCAGGCTGGTCTCAGGCGTAAAGGATATGAATTATTTAGCCGAGTTAAAGGAACTGAACCAGTTTAGCCTTGAACAAAGAACAAAGAAGACTTTGGGGATATTAAAAAATGACATCTTCAAACTCCTGGAAGGTCAGCAAAGCCAGCCTTGGTTAGGCCTTCCGCTTCACAGAGCAGAACCAAGATGGACCCTTGACGTGAAATGGGGTGAAAGAGGAGAGATTTCCAAATGAAGAAGAAAGAGAACACAACGTTTCGACCGTGGAGCCTTCTTCAGGTGTCACACCTGAAGAAGGCTCCACGGCCGAAATGTTGTGTTCTCTTTCTTCTTTTTTTCAGCATGGAATAAACCTATTACTTGTTCCTTTGCAGCCTACGCATGCTGACGCAGCTACCCACCTGAGATTTCCAAATAATGCATTGAGCTCTTTGAAATAAAAAAGATTCCAAGCTGTTTTAGTCTCTTACTGTTCATGATTCATTGAGATCCACCTTAATAAGGTTCATTGCATGCCCAATGACAAGAATTCAGGACACGCACAATTACAACAAAGATTTTTTTTTTACTGTGCACTCTGATAAACAATGTGTTTTAACATGTTGGAATAGCAGATTCTGGGCAAACGGAGAATCGTTTTGTGAATAACAGCTGTACTAAAGAAATGTTAATCCTAAACAAAGTGTAGAATAAAAAGGAGCACAAGCATCTATCCCAGGCCTCAGGCACCCAGTGTCACCAACTGAACAAAGCCTGCATGCAGTACTCTGTGACATTTAAATTCAATCAGCCCTCGTCAATCAAAGATCTAGCAACCACAGAATTTGAGAATAAATGGTTTTCCCTGTGAAACCAGATCTGGCAACTGCGGGCAAAAGAGTTTTTAGTGAGTGGCAACACTTTAAATGGTGGTTTCCATGTAGCTTGTCCACCACTGTGTGTTTTCTTCCATGCTTGGTCCATGATCTACACCTAGAGCAGAAAGGATGCTGCTGTCTCAGTAGTTGTCTGCGTTAGTAATCCATCTATGGACGTTTATAGAACTTGTGCAAATACCGAAAATAATGCTGAGAATAACCAGAGCTTAGAATATTATTTTGCACACAGTGTATCAGCGATAAATGATGATATCTAATATAAAATGATGTACTGTATGTTATATTAGAGCTATGGAACTCAAAATCAGATAATGACTTGGGTAAAGAACTCTAATACTTCCATTCACACACACATGACCAAATGAAAATACAGTATATGGAATTAAATGGAACTTACTAAACATTAAGGCACAAGAATTCTGTTCTTCACAGTCACTTACACACTGTTTACTTGAAGAAATAAGTTGTGAATAGAGAATATGAGCTAAATATCAATAAACAGACACAACAGAATTATTACTGCATATTTGCAAATATGCATAAAACCTCCACAATTTGCACAAATAAGAAGTCTGGGGTAAGGAATCGGTACAAACAAATGGTTTTTAAGCTGGATGACTTTTCTAAACTGGGGGGGTCAAGACCAGAGCATCCCTATAAATCTAAAACTCAAAAGACATTCATGATTTGGATTATGAACATGAGGATTTATGTTTCTGATCTACAAGAAAGCTTATAACTCATTATTTATACTGTATATTTACAGAGTGAAGATTGTTTTACATTGAATCAGCACTGATACGCGTTTCCATTTGTTTTGCTTTTGTCTTTTCCCTTGATTTTTTCCTCTGATTCTGTAATGATCGTATCATAAAATGTAAATGACATGCCCCGTACTTAATATAATCAGCAACATTCACTACCTCCTTCAGGAGCAATCTCTGGTGAAATGCAAACTGTTTGTTCAATATACTGGTAACTAGGCACAAAACATCTTTAAGAAAAATGGGACGTTTGCTTCTCTTTAAAGATCGGATGCCAAATTTGTTTGCATGTGGGTGTAGTTTTGGGCTGCACAGCCCCTGCATCCAATAATTCAGTTTTTTTGTAGACCTTGCTTTTTTCACCCTGCAGATAAAAGGTCTCGGGTACCTTAACAGATGTTCCCCAGCCAATAATAAGAGTGGTATTGTCCTTCCAGCACAGGCTGCAGGGATACATATCTGGACGCAGGCTGGTATTGTCCCTCAGCACAGTGGTGATTCGCTGCTTGGTGCTGAAGTCGTAAATCCTGACACCCTGCAAAACAGTGGGTAACACAAGAAAACAGACTCTGCCTGTAGTTATAGCAGACCTCTAATGCATTCTTTGAAGAGTGCTTAAAGACAATACTTATAAAGACTCTTATTCCATGATTAGTTGCTAAAATTCACATTTTCTTGGATAACCTCAGATGTGAAAAAAAAATGAATTTTTTTGTGACATATATGATTAACTAAACCCAAACCCCCAGAAACCTAAAGAAACAAATTCAATTAATTATATAAATATATTAAAGTCACTTCCCACTTTTTACATACTGTATATGATCTTTGTTTTTGTCAATAAGTATTATACAGTATACATATTTATACTTACTGTCAGAATGTGTGTTAACATCTCTTTACATCATAAGTTCCTTTTCTGACAGGAACATCAAACGGATTTGATCCTAAAAACTATTTTTTAAATGCATTTTGCATTGAGATTATGATTGGATTCTAATTATTTAACGTAATTTCATATATCTCTGCAAATGCAGATTTATTTCAGCAACTAGATCAAGGAAAAGATGCACAAAGATGAAAAATGAAAGTTTTGTTTTTCATGTAAACAGAAATGTTCTGCTAGAAGACAGTAAGATATTAAAACCATATGTTTTAAAAGAAATTAACACGCAGGGCTGCATCTAAAAAAAATCACATCTTATGAATCCAAAAGTACCGTGTCCCTTTTGTAGGAGTCCTCAAATTTAACAAGAAATAAAATGAAAAAGAAATCCATCCGACCTATGTTCACTTCTCCCTACTTCAAACAAAACAAGAATGCATACAGTATATCCTTTACATACTTAATTAATAGCCAATTATCTCAACCATTTTTAGGCAAATGCCAAAAAACACCATTGGCAAATTTTAATGTGAGTAAGGCATTACACATCCTATAAAATATTTGTTCAGATAATAAAACAAATATTGTAAATACAACCCTAATTTTTATTCATTTTACCACATTGTTTGCCCAAGCGATCAAATTTGCTCTCCATTTGATGCTGGTAATGGTGCCTTCTCCTTCGTGTAAAGTGACAGTCTTCCAGCGGTTCAGCCAGTTTCTCTCATACAACATGAGCTGTAAGAATAGAAAACACTGTGTTATAAAGTGGATGTTACATTAATGACGGGTCTACCCCTGGTCAATGATGGAAGGTTGTAATTTTATCAGTCCTTCGACTTAAGTTCAAGACACCTACAGCTTTGTCTCTGGGCTGATGAGTAGTTACACTAGAGACTCAGTATAACAGTGTTTGCACATTAAGAAAATTCTAATAGGTACAGTATGTGAGATGTATATTAAGATCATTTTGCAAATATCGTTTTTTAACACACACTTGCAGAAAAGTGGTATAAGAAAAAGACAAGGAATGGGAGATGTTTTGTTTTCATTAAATCTAAAAAAAAAATATTTGTGTTAGCAAAAATGTTTAAGATCACTTCAAAGGCAAAAGTATTCCTCCTTCTAAATTAATTATTTAGAAATGAGTATTATCTGTAACAAAGTTCAACCATCAACAATAAAAGCAGATTAACAGTACATATCATAGTAAATACTCAACACACACTCATTTTCATGCCCGAACAAAAGAATTTACATTGCTCCATGCAGTGTCCCCTCCTTTGCATTTTACAAGCATTTGCAGTGTGTCTAACTGCACAGAAAAGTTGATTCAATTGAAGAATTGTGAGAAAACAAAATGCTTTTGCATTGAGTTATACTTTCTAATTTACTTTACTGCATTTAGCATCAAGTCTGACTTCTATAATGCAAACAATTAAACTACTGGTTTTCATGGCAGTGACACGTCTTCTCTCGGTTCCGCCTTCAGAACCGTTCTTCAGAATGGTTCATGCAAGTGAAGAGAATGAACTGGCGACATATAACTAATTATAGATATATCGTAACAATTTGAGAACAGTGGAAAGAAAGCCCTGGTGTAAACACACAAAGAGAGTTCAACAACTGAAGATCTGTGTAGTTTCTTTATATTTTTTAGTGTGGAACTGAACTTTACTTGCTCTTTTGCAGCCAACGCACAACATGATAAATGGCACCACATGATAAATCTTGTGAAAAGGAACAAACCAACAAATAAACAACAGTCCAACTCCAGTCTCCCAACGTGTTAGGTAAATGGGTCCTTGAGCTCAGGAGAAGGCCGAGGACTTGTAAGTGTAATTGGCATCTACACCACAAGAGGACAGCTGAACACAGTACATCTACTTTCAGTTCCCTTTCTCTCTCGCAACATTTCTGTAGCAGAGTGACGGACGTTCCTCTGTGTCTCAGTCCTCGAACAGCTCCAAAAACTACCATTGTTCATGATCTAAATATCTCTGTGTATACACCAAATGTAGTGTAAAAATAATGATAGCATATCACGTTTCATTGCTTTGATTCCTGACCTAACTTGCAGTACGTCACAGATAGTTTTTGCAGATTTTATTTTCATGGATCCAGACCTGAGCAGTAAAAATAACTAGGGTGAAGACCAGAAGTGTTGCTGTTAGCAATATTACTGACTGAACTTGGTGTCCTCACCAGCAACGACTGCTGCATTATGAAACCTAAGCCCAAATACCTGCTCTACAACCAAGAGGGCCCTTTATAATTTGCCTGAGACAGCCAGTACAGGTACTGTCAAAAAATGCATAAAGTACCAGGTGGGAAGTCTGTGTACTCAATATTCTTAGAAAGGGAAAACAATGGAAAATCACACTAAAATATGGTTTTAATTAAGGAATCAAAAAATGCACCTCAGAGAAATTGCAGAATGTAAATGCGAATGGGATAAACAATGTGTTCTGGACCACTTTTGGATGCACTGTTTTTAGGTTAAATGTCTTTGGCTTAGTCAGAACCCTGTGACCCAGTGCTGTGTTCAATTTGTTCCTATTGGCTAAAGCTTACTAAGCTCTACTGCTTCTCACTGTATATCCAATCAGGGAAAACTAGCCACCTACTCCTTCCTAGCTGTCAGGGAGCAGACATCTGGCTCTGTGCTCAGCTCATAGGGTCTGCCTTGTCCCTGAGGACATGCCATCTGCCACACACTCCAATCAATAACTCTCAGCCAACTGGCATAACAAGAAATTTAGAAATTTGTCTTCATTCAGAATAGATAAGCCCACCCCAAAGGACTATTTATGTAATATATATGTAACACAAAACAAACAAAAAACCACAATCTCTTGGAAGTATACCAAACCTTATTTTAGCACCAGGAAGGAACTCTATTTTAACTGAAATGCATTCAGCAACTTAATTTCACAAATTAAGGAAAACAAATCTAGAAATCTCAAAATAATACAGTGAAAAGCGTATAAGCACAGTGAAGTATAATGTGTAATTTTTGCCATGATTGCCATAATTAAAATTTGCATTTCAGATTAAAAGATAAATATAAGGCAAAAGTGCAAATGACAGCTTTTATTTCTGGCATGTTTGTACAAGCATATTTATCTACGTTAGAACAAGTCACCACCTCTACAATTCTCTATTAATAAAACTCGTCCTTCATAAGACAGCAGAAAAGAGTTCAGTTAAACTACACTAAAGTTAAACTAAAGCTGCTGAATCTCTTCTCAGGTTTTTATGATCATTATCATTGTTTAATAGTTATGATAATCTTTGTTTTAAACTATAACTGCTTTCATAATGCATCATTTCAAGGGTCAGGACAATAAAAGCCAAAACACACTAATTAAAATAATACATAAATCATAATTAAATGCTAGTGCATAAGTTTTAAGATGGGATGTAAAAATGTGCAGACTGACGTGTCCAGAATATTCACTTTATGATATTCTGCATCAGGACTTCTCAACCTTTAGGTCATACTTAGGTCAGTGTCACAAAGATCAGTGCCCAATAAAAGCATAAGTAGTTTATTTTTGGCAGAGCGGTGGCACTGTGGCTAAGGATCTGCGCCTGTGGCTGGAAGGATGCTGGTTCAAATCCCGTGGCCGGCAGAGGAATCCTTTTCTTTGGAGCTGGTTCCCCCAATATCTCAGCGCACATCCACTAGCTAGGTAAAATGAGCTCATCTGCAGTACTAAACACTTTTTTTACTGCGAGTTAAATGAGAGAACACAAGGTAGCATGCTTTCAGGGCATTTTTATACAGTGAAGTGTAGCTTTGAAAACCCTGAACTCTAGGACCTCAGAACAACCACTAGGAATTGCATTCCAGAAACAGCAGTACATTTTGTTTGTGAAAAGTTACCAAGGAATTTCAGATTTACAAAACTCATACTGTTTTTACTTTGCTTTACCACACCTTTCCCTTTTCACTATCACAGTCGCAGTATACTTTACTTTGGTTTCCAATACATGCAGTATATCTAATGTTTTCAATAAACTAGAGTCTTGTATACTAAGCAAACTTGACTAGTTTAAAGAAAACAGCAAAGGAAGGGGATTAGCAAACTCTGCAGAAGTAGAAAAAGAAAGACAAAAAATTATTATAATTGTAAAATGGGAACCACAGAACTCAAAAAGGCTATACAGTAAGACGTAGGTGTTTATAAACAGTTAGGTTAGACACATAACATCAATAATTCAAAAGGCAAATAAATTGAGGTATTTGATTTAAAGTGTAGAGTTTAAATCAAGGGATGTAATGCTACTAGTACACTGCCCTAGTAAGACCTCATTTAGAATAATTAGTACAGTCACAGTGTTACAAAAAATATGTATTTAACATTCCTGGTCTTAAAAGAACATCCTACACTGACTGGATAAAGGACCTATATATACTGGATATATTTTAGGCTTAAAGAAGAAGAGAAGATTATGAGACAACCTGATTAAATTATTTAAAATCTTCAAAGTCAAACCAGTGGATTTCTTCAGAATAAACAGTGACCCATGAACTGGAGGGCACAAGGAAGCTGCATGAAAAACTGAGGACAAGCGGCTCAAAGTGTTATGGAGGACCGGAACAAGCTACACCTGGCCTTAATGTTGAATCTGATGACGTCACTTCTTTCAAAACATGACTGGATGAGATACACAAGATCAATTAGCCACTGGCATTGAAATTAACCAGACAGTGTAAATAGCCTCCTCTTGTTAGAACCTGTCCTTATGCATCATGTAATCCAACAAAGTTCTAAATGGATTTTCTGGAGAAGACAGCTACCATGGCTAAACGATGGTCTCAGAAGATGCGAACTAAAGATACAGCAAGTTGATATGTAAAAATGAAAATTTTAGAAAATATATTTAGCATAACTAACTTCTTAAGGTGGATGTGTTTGTTTTCAAGTTCACTTGATTTCCCTTAGCTTTATGTTAGACACTTCAAAGGTTCTTTCAGTTTCAATGTAATTTATTCAATTTTTCACCTGCCCCTGGTGTTGCACTATTAGTGTACTTTCTCAATTAAAACAATCTTTAATGTGCAGATGACAGTGACATTTATGCAAGCTGCAGATCTAAAGATGCCTTCATGTACAGCATGTCCTCTTTTTATATCCACATGATTTTGTGTTAAAACAAACAAAAATGTAATTTCTTTTCGTCTATAAGTGAGAGTCCAGGTCATCGCATGTGAAAATAATACAGCAGTAGCTACAGTGATTCCTGCACAGTATTGAATTCCCTGCAACAACATTTGACTCCTGTTGAAGTTTATTGATTTTCATCACTTTGCTCCCTTTGCTTTTTGAAGTATTATTAACAAAAAGGAGGAGGAAAAAATCTGTAATAATTGAGTAAAATGGCTGAATAACACTCACTGTTAATCTTTAATAAGGATCAAATGTGTATTAAAAATTGTAAGCTCAAGAAGACCTCAAGAAAGTGATGTCAGCTTGTGGGAAATCACCTTGTGCTGGAATGCTGTATTTTTTTGTAATAATTGCAATTTAATACACTTCTGATGCTACTTTTTAGATGTTGTTGAATGTACAGTTTTGTTGTACACACTGCTGTTCCCAAGAGAACAATCCTGCTAAAGTTATTTATATTGCATGCATTTCTTGCTCATAAAACCTTCAGCACAGAAATTAAAAACCCCAATCCCACATGGCTGAGACAGAGAAATTTTAAAACAATCACCCCCCGTGGCCAGTTTTCTGTGCCACTGTGAATATAACAGCTTTGGTCAAAAATAAATTCAAAACTTTTGGTCAAAATGTAGAATCTCTTACCTCCCAATGTGTATTGTTTGCAATGTTGCAGCTCTCAAACCTTGTGGGTATATGTGGCCTGTTCTGTATTGTATTTAACCACACTACTTTCTGTTTCATTTGCAAAAACAAGCACTGCAACAAGGGCAGAACATGCAAACAATTCTTGCATGAGGACTCAATAGTACCTGTTAGTGGATCTATAAAACAGGACTACTTTTAACTTTTACATACAATCCAACATCGTCATCAGTCTGATGGCACTGAAAGGATGATGGAGACATTGGCATTGCATTGCCACCTTTCATCTGGCCTACATGACCTCATGGTCTTCAGTCTGTGCTGTGGCTCTTCATCAATGTCCTTCCAGCACTCAGGAGCAATTATAATCAGAACCAAGCTTAAAGACGAACATGTACTCTACTGTATCAGCAATCTGTGAACTTGCACTGGCTCCCTTTGAAATCAAATTTAGCTTTAAACAGTATACAATAACTTACAGCCACATAATAGATTTTGACTTACAGGGCAAAATGTATCAAATCCTATCAAAAAAAAATCTAACTACAAGTCTCACCTAGTATTTGTGGAATGGCACACACTGTATACCGCATTGTTTCAATGTGTGCAGTCTTGATCCAGAACTTACAACCTTACAACTCACAGCCAGCAGGCATATCACCCTGCAAATCACAACTGGCAATCCACTGAAGCTACGCAGCTATGAGCCTGGTCAGTACCTGGATGGGAGACCTCCTGGAAAAAAACTATGCCTGCTGCTGGAAGTGGTGCTAGTGGGACCAGCAGGGGGTGCTCACCCTGTAGTCTTTGTGAGTCCTAATGCCCCAATATAGTAACGGGGAAACTATACTGTAAAAAGGCACTGTCCTACAGATGAGATGCAAAACCGAGGTCCTGACTTTCTGTGGTCATTAAAAATATCTGTTCTCCTCCCTTCTCTCTGTACTCTGTTCTCCTCCTCACTGATAGCCGGTGAGTGATGAATGTACTGGGTGCACTATGGCTGCTGTCGCATCATCCATATGGGGGCTGCACATTGGTGGTGATGGAGGGGTGTCCCCATTACCTGTTTTGGGCTAATTCCTGTTCCCTAAAACAAATGACTGATGTTTTTCAAGAGCTACAGAATACACTATCAAATCATATTCACAAAGCAACAGGATTTCAACCTGTGGTTTTAAAAATCTATGCACTGGGCACTTGTGTTAATATTATATCATAGTACTTTGCATGTTTGAAGTCTTTTGCAATACTGAAATGTGCAGCCCTGTAAATTCATAACATCATAAGAAGGGGCCGTTCAACCCATCTTGCATGCTTGATTAGCAGGAGAACATCCCATTTTAACTGCAAACACATCAAACAATTTGAACAAACCATAGCAAAAATCAGTTCTTAAAAAATGTTTAATGAAACTTGTATTTTTCTCAGGCTTTTGATTGAGTTGTTTGAACCACCAAGTGTGCATTTGATTTTCCTTTTTATCCCTCAATCATAACGTTTGTCAAATGACAACAGACCATTAGGCATGTGAAAAAAAGTCACTGGGTTTAAAGATGTTGATTTGTCCAAGAATTTCTTGAAGGCTGACATTTCTTGAATGCCACGAGGCTATTGGCTTTGGCAACATAACTGGTTATCTTGTTCCATACTATCAGAACCCTAAGTCCTACTATTCTTTTTCCTGTTTCACATAAAACTCATCAGGATGTTTCAAATCCTCAAACTCCTCCCACATGTACATGAGTGAAGGTTCCAAAACAAATTACTTTATTTTTTATAAATATACCAGAAATAGCGTGATTAAAATATTAATGTTTAAAACATATTTTGAAAACAATCCTAAAACATATTTCGAAACAAAAGAAAGTGGGCAATAATCCATTTTTTCTACTTTTGCTTTACTTTCAACGGTCGCACTCGACTTCAGATATTGAAGTCTTGAGTTTAAGAAAACATTTTGTGGATCACCCTTCTGTGCAATAAAGTCTAAGGTCACTTAATGTTCTCAGCTCTCCTAGTGCTAAGCTGAGCTCATGAGGAGGAGTGTTGAGTCGCTTCAGAGGGGATGAAATCTGCAAGCACCTTTTTGTAACTGAATGATATTACTTCTAACTTACCTTATTCCCTCCAGTGACAAACTGCTTACTGTTTGATTTTCCAAACTGAGGATGAAGTGCCACTACCTGCAGGGTACAGAGATAGAACCGTTTTAGTGACTATATCTGACCATATTTGGTGTGCATATCAGCCTATACATGTAGTTCCACTTTTAATTGGAACTTACATTCAAAACAGGTTTCACGATTACGTCCACCAATTATTTTGGTTAAATAAAAATGTATCAGAAGCGTAATACACTGTTTTCTAAACACCTAATATTTTAGAATGATTTATTTCCTACAAATCTGTAAAGTTCTACAACACAAAATTCATTCAATTTCAAAAGCTTTAGTTTTAACTCTTGGCATTATAAAAACAGAGGTTAAAATAAATAGTTTTAATGATATTCAGATTTGCTCAAATACATGACAGCCTAAATCTGCATAATCTGCATCTTTCTATTACAGGTTAATGGGTAAGATCTTTAGAAAAAATTGTCATAAGTGATTTGTTTAAAAGAATGTTACAGTTCGGTGTCAATAAAAGTATAGATACTTTCAAGAAGTATTTCAAAAACGATACACTGACTGTAGTAAGGTGTGATTATATTTCTGAAATGGATGGGGATCTATGACTAAATCTCAGGAAAGAAAAACACTTGAAATAAATGAGCTTATTTATATAAAAGAAATTTCTTAAAGAAAGAAAAATATAAAATAAAGGAATATGTGACAAGACACTTCTGAAAGAAGTCATGAAATTTCAAGGATTTTCTAAGCAAAGGCAACTGTATATAAAAAGCAAGACTTATGTTGTTTAGAAAACACTTTTGCAGGGACACAGTTAAGCTCTGTTTCCTTTTGCTTTCATGAGATGTTTAATACAATTGAACTTAATTTTAAATAGGTACTTTGTGCTTTTAAACTTCACAATTACCAGTTCGCCACTTTTTTGTGAATTTGAACCTCTAAAACAAAGATATTTCATTTAATTTGGTTACTGTTTATGAAAGCAAGCAAACTGAGCCAATAAAATTATTCCATTTTGATTCTGAGGTCCGTGAGGGAAATGTAACTGGTAATGAGATTTGTCCCAGAAACAATTATTTCAATGGCCAAAATATGATTTTTGCCTATAAAAAAATGTGAAATGTGAAGATACAGAGAATGAGGCAAAAAGGAAAGAAATAAAGACTTCTGGGGTGTGTAGCTGTCAAACTTGTATAATCCAAGTATGTTCAAAATAATTGCTGGCTGTGCTGGAACAAACTACAAAACAATGAATGAGAAGTTTTGAAAACCAGAACCAAATCTAATAAATAATGTTAAAAGATGTGACCTCTGAAGGTATTAAATGAATGATGTTGGAATGAAACACTGGTGCAGTGCACTTGGTCTGCTGTGTCAGCACAGACAACCAGCCTCCCAAAGCAAGGTGTCTATTTTTGTGTTCTAAATGGATTTAACTTTATTTTATTACTTGTTCCCTCTTAAATCTCTTCCACAAAATTATTTCATATTTTATTTATGTGCACCTCAGTCTGCTTCAGTGACTCATTGTGGACAATTATCTGTAGTGTCCACTCCCTCCAATAACATCCCCACCGGCAGAAGAGTGGCTTTATAGAAACCATCTCTGTCGTCCGCAGAAAAACAGCCCCCCCACCCCTTTACCCTCTCCCAGAAGCACCCTTGAAGCTCCATCGCCACACACATTCAAATTACCACCGCCTTTTTAGCTCAGATTGTATTACAAGTACTCCTGTATGGATTAGTTCCCCAGGCCTCTCATAACCTTCACTAATAGTCTTCTGTTTTTTTCTGTTTATGCCATTAAAAACAGAAGGAATGACAACAACAAGCTGAGAATAAGTCACGCAACAGGAAAGTAATACAAAACAACAGGACAAACATTAAAGGATGAGGAAGATAGGTCTCCTTTATTTAAAAAAAAAGACATTTTGCTTACTCTTCATGTTAGTGAAAGACCCCAGATAGACAGACTGGATAAGGTCAGAAGGATAAGTCTGGAGATATGTTCTCTCAAGTTAAAAGTGTTGTGCAAGAATCATAGAAGAGATGAGTGGACTTTTCAGTCCTCTTAGACACAACATACAGTAGGCAAAGGGTAAAGAGGTGATGGGCTTAATACAAACCTCCCAGCTGACCTTGATGGCTTAAAAGTTCACAATGTTTAAAAGTCTAAACGGCCAGAAGATGTAACCCCTCCTCCCTCTCCCTCACTACACCCTCATTGGTTAAAAACAGTAATTCTAACACTGAATGTGATGAACATGATGTAAAGTGAGCATTCTTAATGCAGACCTTGGCTAGTGATCTGAACTGGACATGGCCTAGAAAGGAGAGAGGTGTGGTGATGTTGGCTGCGTTCATTGTGCCTCAGTGACTATGACAGTGGCAGAACTTGACAATCGTGGGCCCTTATCACACACTAGTGGGACCACAATGGGCTCTCCCTTTGATAAGTTATGCTTCTTTACTGCCAATAATAGGACAGGGTTCTCTCAGGTTTCTGACAGTGACCCTCAAAACTTCCTCGGAGAGGTCTGCACATCTCCAGTCGGATCTGTACGGGGTACCTCCCAGAAGTTACTAGAGAGCCAGTAGCACACCAAAAGACCTAAAAGGCTAGGCAGGTCAGAGGATCTGAGGGACTTAGGGTGGAACTGGATTTCTAGTTTGTGGTAAGGATTAACACAGTTACATAAAGTTTTTATATAATTAGAATTGATACATTTACATTTAAATAACTACAACACCTCCCCCCCAGCACAAAAAAAAAGCTGACTGCTGTTTTGTTTCCTTCAGTATATGTGACATCACTCTTAAAGACCCTCAAATAGATCAACAGAAAGCACTGCTACCATAAACTGAAGCAAAGACAGAGGTTTACCATTGTATTCCCATTTAACCTGCCAGGCCAAAATTGCTTTTAAGTCTTTTGCAGAAAAATGTAAGAGCCATAAACACCAAAATGACAGCATTTCAAAACATATTATTCTGACTTCCAATCACAGTCAAAACAGAATGGTTTACTTTCTGCAGTGGCCCTTATTGGACAGAAATAACTTCTCAGAAAACATAAAAAAAACAGATATTCTGACTAGAGTAAGGCTTTTTAATGCAAATATTTTAAACATAATGTATATAATGCAACATTAAAGCACTGTACCCGTCTAGATCTCTCCAGACACATATGTTGGTTACTTTTATTACACGTAACTAGAGCTACAGACAATGGGATCAATGGCAGAACCGTTTCAGCACACCACCAGAGAAGATCATGATAGACAAATTCAGCAATATCACTGGTGGATAATAAAAAAAAAACTGCAAAAATATGGTTTGGCATGTTAGAAATTACTCTACCAGCTTACAAATGAAGGTGCACTGTGGTCAAAAAATAGAATTTCTGCTAAGTGATTTTGCACTTGATTTATTTGGCATAATCTCTGTATTTCAGTTTAACAAGCTTTGAAGTCTCATGGACAGAAGCAGAAGCTGTTGCTAAGCTAAGGCCTCGGCTGTTGTCTTACCTTGATGGGACAGTCAAAGTTATCATGGAACCCCTCCCTGGTGTATAGTCCGAATACCTGGACCTGCCAAACGAAATAAGACAAGGGGTTGAATATTGCATTTCTAAGTGCACTTCCTGACAGTTATATTGCATTTTAGTTAACAGACCATCATGTAATGAGAAAATAGAAACTCTTTAGCAGGAATAACTAGGGAAAAAACAACAAGATATGAAGCAGTGAGGGGGCTATTACAGCTGTCATAACATGTTGGTCTGGGAGGATATCAGGCATTAAACTGCAGTTTCCCAATTTCTCATTTGAGCGTGTGTTTTGCTTAGCATTTAGCCCTTGTTTGATTAAACAAGAACTTCCTTGCAGTTTGAAATTTCCGTGTGTGAAGTCTGCTTGGCTTTTTACAGGCCTTTTACCGGTACAATGAGAATAAAGGGCAGTACACACTCGGCTCTGAAGCCTGTTTTACACGCGAGTAGCAGATGGAAAGATGGTTATTCTCTCTGCAAGTTCACTGGTGTCTGCCAAGTCCCTAGGGATTGCTGACAGTGTGGTAGGCCCAAGGTGGGTCACTGACTCCCACCCAGCCCCGAAAACAGTCAGGTAAGCTTGTGACATAGCCTGAGACCTGAACCAGCAAAGTCCTGGGAACGGACTGGATACAGACACTATGGCCTCCTCCACTTGTTGAGTCACTTGCACCCCCAGCCCCCATTTGAGGCCAGGTAAAGCCAAAGAGCAGCCGATACAAATGCTCTATGAAGTCTGTCCGATTAAATCAACACACTGTATTGAGAACCTTTGGAAAATGATCAAAATACTGTACCCAAATGATTGCGTAAATGTATCAAAACTACATAAAAAAACAAAAGCAATTCCTTTTATAAAAGAAAGTAAAAAGGAACATAACAATAACTTCTTTGGTTTATTGTTCTAAGATCTGATGTTGATCAAAAAACAGGAGTGTAAATACTGCAGTAATTTAGTCTAGCATGTAATTAACTCTAGGAAGAGGCCAGCTTGGCAGAATTATATATTCCAAGAAGATAATTACTCCAAACATGCTTCCAATAAATTCCAGACTGTACTTCTAATTAACTGAATTAAAGATGAGTTTGCAAAAACGATTACTGTACATGGAACAAATTACATTTTGTGTGATTGTGTACAAAATGCAATAGAGGATGAATCCTGAGGTGCTCTAATAAATTACCCTTATGGTAAATTATGTTTACAACTTGTCTTGTCACACAACATGAACTGAACAGACCAAACAGTAACTATTTCTATTTTCCCCCTATTTATGCTCTGTATTACTTCCTATTTATGTTCATTGCAAAATGTTTGTTTCATTTTGCTGGGATAAATGAATAATATGGTTGTCACAAAACATTTAATTTATCTACAGTATGTAAGACAGGATTTACAAAGAGCAGCTTCTTAATGTTCAAATAATTGCAATATTCTGCAGCAAAAAAAAACATAGGACAATTATGTAGTCTTAAACTAAGCTATACAACCAATTCAGATATCTCTGAGAACTTGTCTTCTTTGCCACCTGATGAACAAGACGGTTTTTGCCCCCACAACTGTTTTTTTCTCTGTTTTCTGGGGTTAGCATCTGACACCTTAGGTTAAAGTTGAAGCCAGATAAAATGACAAAAACTGTTTTATCTGAATATCTGCTTTATCTACCGTAGGAATCACCCCAAACTGGACAATGTGCCGTGTGTTTATTCCACTAGGGTAGGGCTCGGACACATTGATCGCACAGTGAGAAGCTCTTTCTGGGAATGTCTGTTTTTCAGCTGCTCTTTGTCCATTGGAACTTTAGCTTCAGGCTCTTGTCTCAACAACGGAAAACTCAATGCAGTCTTTTTTTTTATTTGTTCTGGCTCATCCTCCCAAAAAGCAGAAAATGGGTCTCTTTTCATTTTCATAATGGCATTTTGAAATTGTTTTCTAAGCAGCAATGGTGCTTCCAAAGTGCCATTGTACTTACACTGCATAGTGTAAGTCAGGACTGCACTCTGTTGCAACCATTGGCTGATTGCCCTACACGAGCTCACACCACATTGCATAGTTATTTTGTTTCACATTGTTATAATATCCAGATACTTAACATGAAAGGCCAGCTTTTGTAGATGGTTCATTTCTAGCAATATCTAATGTCTCAAATGCATCATTTTAGCAGCACTCCCTAAAACATGAATTCGTAGGAAAGCAGTGCCGCAAAAAGGCTTTTTGGTGACCCCTGATAAGAAAAACTGGCAATTATAATACTGGGGCTATTTACTTTCAAAAAAGCATATTGTTTCCCTAACACCCACCTTTTCATCCTTCCTGCTACAGAAAAGTAGTATGAGTATGAAAAAAAAATCAAGAACCTTCATTTCACCCTAGTGGCAACAGTGAAAGAAATAGTTACTTTTATATTGCAGTAAATTCCTCCCTCAAGGACTCCTGAAAACTTTAAAAATGAAGCTGTCAACAGGAGAGTGAACATGAATCACATTTCCTGTTTTAACTTATTTTTGAATAAAACAATGGCATACAGTATTCCCATTAGCATGGAACAAGAATGGATATTTTCATGTTTAAATTAAACCTATTAAAACCTATAGGAATCTCATCAGAATGGCAATCATTTTTGTTTGACAAACCAGAATTAAATTTCCCCCCTCTTACCCGCTGACTATCAACCTGGAAACTCATTTAGAACTTAGGTCCATTTAATGTCCTCTGTCTGTCATTGAAGATGCTCAGTGAACAAAGAACAGCTGCAGGTTCAACTTTCAAGAGTTGCCTATGTATTACACTACATCATGACTTCTGAGCTCTTTGATTTACTCTTCCCTCACACCCAGACAGGCAAGATCTGTGTTCCATGCAGTGTGTGGTGTTTTTCCATCGTAGGGGATGAGAGTTACCTTTCTTAAAATGGGTCAGAGACAGAATACCGATGGTAAAGGGAGCTTAGCGGATTAATTTTAACACCAAAAATATTACTCTGATGGACACTTAAAATTTCTCTGACATTATATAGTATTCTGGCAATGCAAAAAATATTAAAACCCGAAGAAAATCAATTCTGTTTTGTAGGATTAATTGACAGTGTACAAAACTCCTTCAATAATTTTGTTTTACGGAGAAAGCTACAGTATCCTTGTTTTTGAATATCTGTATCTATACCAGTGGATCACATTCAGGCCATTAATATAAGACACCTGTTTAAATTGAGAAAACGTACTCCATTTTCACTAGCATTGGCAATATTTCAATTTCACCTTCAGCTATTACCAATCCAAATGAATACTTAATCACAGATGTTTATTACAAAACAACTTAAACTATTAGCCACCATGACAGACAAAATCCTTCACAGTTTAATTTCCAAAGCAAGAAAAAAAATCTTGAAATTAAATACTGAGAAAAAGAAAGTGACAACTAATGTTGACCACAAAATATATAAAGTAATACAAAGACACACAAAACACTTTTCATCTTTATTTCAGAAATGAGGACTTACCTTTAAGGCTACAAACACAAATGCTAAGATCTTTTATTCTACTACAGAAAGCTACACAGAATACAATAGAAAATGTATTTCTATCTCATTGTACTTGGAGTCACGCTGAAATTGAAAAGTTCATAGTTCAGTTTCAGTGAATGATTAGTTTACGAGGCGCTGTTAAGAGATGCAGAAAAATCCCATCTCCCTACCTCTGTACAGTCATCTACGGCTCTCTCTGTTACCTCTGTGAGCTCATGAAGGTCTCTGTTCTAGCAAGAGCAAACAAAGCCCTCCATGCAGAGCATTCTGTGGAATTTCTCTCATTCCCCGAAAAGAATCAAAATTGTTACAATGTTTGTACACACGCAAGCCATACCAGTTAATAACAGATTTGCCCATGAAAATATGGGAGCCCCAAATGGAATCAAAATCATAGTAAATACAGTCTGTTTCAACCACATGATCAAACACAAACATGCAGATTGAACTAGCTGTGTTAAAACAATTCTGTTTCTGCAGCACTTGCATTACACTTAATTCACCAACATATAACATTACACTTATATTGTATTTATTCATGTAAAATTCAACATTGGTACTGTAAATCACACTTAGGAATTGGAGCAGACTGTAGTCTATGAGCATGTAATGAAAAGGGAAGGCTTTCAATCTGATTAGAAAACACTGCTTTTTATTATCATTATTATTCTTAGGAATAGGACAGCAGAGTATGAAAGTATTCAAGCTTTGAGTGATGGGGTCAATATATTGATATTTCTTTTTTTCCTGAGTTAAAGCAGCATTTTTAATTAAAAAAATAATATAACAATATTTTAATTCAACCACTGCTGCCCTTGATAGAAATTGCAATGAGATCACGTTACCTGGTGATATTGGAAGAATATTGGAGCAAAAAACCACAAAGGTGTGAATGTTATATGAAACAATTAAATTCAATTTTCAGAAAGAAATTAAAAGGCCAATATTAGCACAATATTGGAATTAGATTTATGTTAAATATCTCAAATAAACCATTTTAGAAGTCAGCTGTCCCAAGTGTCATGATGTTTGTGATCACAACTTGCAATGAATGATTCTGTTGAGAGACAGGAGTTCCTGAAATTACACATTTGCAAAAAAAAAACAACAAATTCACGTTACAAATGTGTAGACGGAAATCTTGTAGATATCTGCATTGTGTGTTAGAAGCCTTAAATGTAGAGCATTTCTACAGAGCTTTGGTATCACCTTTCACCACTGACTAAATACTGTACTGTACATCCTTAACAATTAAGAAAATAAGCATTGTTCACATACTGTATGTGTGACAATTAAACTTCTTTGCAGTATCAGGACTCTGCTTCCACAGTAACTAATATGAGTGCTTTAATCTAACCTGTTAATTTGTAGATTTAGTTATCAATTTGTTTTCAGATTTCCCTATTAGAAGGCATTAAATAATGTGAGCTGAAGTAGTTCAGGTAGGCATCTGCGTCACACATTAAGTAATCTGCTTGAATGACTGAGTTTAGGGTGTATATACAATATTATATTGTATGTTATATTTTCCCTTTTATAAATTATGAATTTTATAAATGAACATATTATACCTTTAGGTAGGTTTAATCAAAAACAACTACCAATTTTCAGACGCTCAAAATTCCAACTTGTGGAATATTTGCAGTTTTTACCTTTGTTTTCCTTGTAGCACTGGTAATAGTCTGTTGGTTTACAATAAAAGGTGGGTTTTTCTTCAATTTTGTAGTTGATTGGTGCCTGAATTCCACTTTAATTTTAATTTTCATTGGTACAAGATTTGAAAAAGTAAATGCTAGAGTCTCCAAATAACACTAATAAAAACTCCTGACAAGAAACACTTCAGTACCCACCTTATTGAACTGCTTAAATGCTTCACAACTATCTGTAAAATCAAAAAATCAAACTTTCACCACAGGGATTTACAAGAGAATGAGACTGGTATAGAGGAACACCAAGTTCGCATTGATTTTAATTGGAACCGCCACTTTAAAGATTACAAGATTTTCTTTTCAACAGAGCATGAGTTTTAAGAGATATCACCGTACATATCTGCTTTTGCAAACCACCCGACACTGATAATCACCTTGAACAGGAAGATAACAGCCAAGTGGAAATCAATACAAGGATATCAATGGGAGACAGATGCATCCTGATCGCAAATGATGCTGTATTTTTAATCAGGCTTCACACGGATCCATTCCACTGTCTCAGCTTTCCAAAACGCATCTTTGTCAGGACAGGGGAAGCTTTAAAGTGCTACCCCTCTTGAGAAAGCAGCTTGCTTTGTGAACAAGTACTCAAAATTAATCTGCTCTGCACCCTGTTTTTCTCAAAATGATTGCAGTGACCAATTATGCTTTTTCCCTTCTGCCACTTCCAGCCATCACTTGGGTAACGTGACTCAAAATAAGCCAACACCACCTACCCGTCCTTCTCACAATCTGTCCAGACATTGTGATGCTTTTCAGATGCTCAGCCACTGCCTTGTCTTACTGCTGTTTTGCTTTATTTATTAAGTCATATTACTAGAAAACACTCTGTCATAGAAGTAATATGACCTTCCTAAATTTTAAAATCATTCAAGCTAAATATGTGCTAAATGTTAGCCCACGGTTAGGCTTTAGGCCACCAAAATAAGTGCTGGAAGAAACCAGTGCTGCTGTATAAGAACACTAATAATCTACTGTATACTCTCCTGCTAGTGTAAAGTGTGCCTTTCAGGCTGTGTCTGTGGTCACTGCCAGCTCTCAGACCAAGTTATAGCAGAGCTATGATATCCTGATGTTTTCCAATGTTGGTTTTGCGCTGGCAGGCTACTGAATCCTTAAATGTGAGAAGATGCCTGCTTGCTTTTGTACTGATGACTACTGACAGAAGTTCCTTCTCAAAAATTGTGATTCATCAGGCAGAAGTTACAGTTTTATTACAGACCACCAGTTCTGTCTCCCAGATCACATTCCACATCAGACCTGAGAGTCTGAGCTTTACTGCACTGTGGGCATGACACAGTTTGGCTCTTTCCTCGAGCAGCAGACCTACTTCCAAGGAATTCTTCATTCAGGCTGAAGGCTGGGAATAGTCTGCAACCCAAGACACCAGAACTTCTGAACTTGTCTGCAGAACATGGTACAATTTGGTTCTAGAGCTATGCATCCACTTGTGCATACCTACTCTCTGTTGACTGATGTATATAAAGAGGACATTTTGTGACTGTGTGGCACACAAGGCTTTATGAGAACTAAGATTAAGCTGAAAAAAGATGGATGTTATATTTGAAATAAATTATTCTAGATAGCTGTGTTCATCAACAATTATTAGTGTGATGAGCATATATTGTATTTGCTCCAATCCTGAATGTGAAAGCAATAGTTTTAATCTTAATGTAAATGTTCAAATAAGAATCTAAACCCCTTACTACTTTCTTACTCTTTTGTTGTATCTAATAGTTTTTTTAAAGCCATAGAAAATCCAAGGATGTTAAGGAAAAAATACTAAGAAGAGCATTTTCTAAGTCCACTAGAGGGAACCAGAAATCCACTGATTGCTCAGAGGTGCAGCACCTAAAGCTGCTGTATGAGGGAAGTCAGGCAAAAAATTAAGTTAGTTGCTCTTATTAGACAGTGCTGATCAAAAGTAAACGGTAATCTCCTTAATGCCCCCAACACTGGCAGTATTTATAAAGACACAATTTACCTTGCCGTCTTCTGAGCAGATGCCAACATGCTCCCCGCCTTCATCCAGACTGATCTGATTTATTTTCACCGGACTCTGGGAAAGCAAAACACATAAACTAATCAGGACTGCAAACTGTGACACCTAAGACTGAGACAAAAGAAGGGTTTATAATCCATTTAGTGTAGGAACAGTAGGGAAGAGAAAAACATACACACACTTGCACACATACTCATATCTGGGATTAGCACTCAGCTTTGATACACTGTTTTATTTCATCCTGGCAGTCTGGGCTTTCATTAATCTAGCCCCCCCTCCCCAAACCCATTGACTGGGGGACAGTCACAAAAGTTCATGTTGAAAATGAGCCCCATCTTTCTGGTGGATGGTACTGGTAAAGAACCCTGTGGCAACTGTTGCAAAGATGAGCCACAGACATATTTTGGAGAGAACTGTCTTTGGACACCTTTTAGTTGTGTACCACACTGTGCTGATTTTAACCGTCCTACCTCTTACCTAATTTAGAAAACAGAGTGTTGAAACATTCAAGCACTGCCACATTTCTTATTTTCGTTCAGTCTTTCACACTGGGTGCAAATGTTTCAAGGGAAAAAGCCATGCATTTATTTAGTCTTTAATGAAAAGCTGCTTGCAAAAACATTTTTTTAAGTAAACTTGTGATATGTTGTCAACCATCCTGATCTTTTTATGATGAAAAACATTTCTCACTTAATTTCTTTACATTTAAATTCCTGATTGACTGCTTCAGATTCAGTATAGATTCTCCAACACCCCCCAAATAATCTATCATCCTTGGAGGATCTATAATGATGCCTTAATGTTTCATAGTGTGCTGCTTAACACACCTCTTTAATTCCTCCCAGTAGTTCCTTCCAAACTAACTTCCACCTACTTAAGACAAGTAACATGTCACCCAATGGTTATTTCTGTGTGTTTTGCATTGAATTTTATAAACAAAGACCTGCAGTTCAGAAGCACAATTTCTAGAATCAGGATCTCAATTGACCAAATAATTTTGGTATTCTATTATTTGTTAACAACATGTCCACATTTTCTTTTTGTTTTCACTTATAAAGGACTTCTTTGTAGAAAACCAATCAGAGAATTCTCTCTCTCTCATTCTATTCTGACCATTCAGGTTGACACCTTAACCCCATATTCTTCAGCAAGCTCCTTCATATGTGACTACGAAGACCTCAGTTCCTGGCTGAATAACTGTTTGAGCCGGTCACACAATAACAAATCTTTATTATAGAAGAAAATGTTTTAAGTCTCTAGTAATACACTTAAAATAATTTTTCCTACACAAATAGCAAACTGGGCACCGTAGTGCAGTGGTTAACTGCTGCCTTGCAGTACTGGGGCCATGGATTCAATTCAGGAATTAGGGTGCTATGTGCATGGAGTTTGTACAGTATGTTCCCCTTTGCTTTACTGTGTTTTCTCCGGGTTCTCCAGTTTCCTCCCACAGTCTGTAGTTCTACATACTGGTAGGCTATTTGGCTTCAGGGAAAACTGGCCCTGGTGTGAGTGTGTGCATGCGTCTGTGTGTGCCCTGCAATGGACTGGCATCCTGTCCAGGGTGTTTACTTGCCCTGCTTTCCGGGATAGGCTCTGGTTCCCCTACGACCCTGAACTGGATGAAGGGATAGATGGAAACAGTAAACTGATCATTTTTCTTAACCAGAATGACTTTCTGTTAATGACCTTTCCTTTCAATCTCAACAATGAACTGCAAATAAGACCTTCAAACGTGAGTTCTCAGTTAACTTTTTACATATCCACAAGAGGACCTAGATTGAAATCACTATAATATCATTCAGCTTTAACAATATACTTCAGTTTTCAGCTTCACCTTTCAAAATGAGACCTATTAAGAGTCAGATGGACAATCATAATAGTCATAGTGAGCAACAGAGCAAGTGCATTGGTTATGAAAAGCTCTAGACTGAAATCAGGAAGCACTCTTCTACACAAAGAGCTGTGGGGGTCTGAAATTTAAGTGCTTATGTGTTGTGTAACTGTATGTATCCCATGTTGCAATTCTACAAGAAATGGATGGATGAGATTGTTTACTTAAGTTTCTAGCAACTAGATAAGCAAGATGGTCCAAATGCCCTCTTCTCATTTGTAACCCTTATGTTATTATATCCGCTCTCATCTCCGAAGTGGTCAAACAGCAGTAAAAACAAAAGTACCCTTTGAATTACTTTAGAAATTACATTTCTGGAATGGGTTAAACAGTATGACAGTGAGGACACTCCTGACCAAAACTAAGGTTATATGAGAGAAGATGAGAAAAGGGAGTCTGTTTCACTTCTTAAATAGTTCCAGTTTAAGAAGTTTAACACTCAATTTTTTTCAAAAATATTCCGTGAAAATGGATAAATGAAACCTAAAACAAAAGTCACTTTAGCCAGACTTCACCAGCTGCCGCTGACATTAACAGAAAGAAGTAGACTCTTTCAAAAGTCTTGTGCTACTTTAAAAATGTTTCTAGGACTAGAAACAGCTGGTTCTGTAGAAATCTTTTATTTGTCACATAAGACAACGGAAAGGTAACAATCCACAGCAGACTGAGTTCTATCAAGAGAAATGTAGACAGGAGCACTCAATAGCATAGCTCAAAATAACTTTACTTCTTGAGACAGGACGCACTCCTGTGGAATGACTATTGTCCAATGACTATTTTTATGTCATAATCTTTCTTTTAAGAACTGATAAATAAGGACTTGGATTGCTGTTTGGTGTCATGATTTCCAACATTAGAAGCATTGACATTTTAGATGACAATAAGGCATTTTAAAGCTGTTATAAATAGTTATGATGTCAGAATCATGAGCAGAAGCTTTATATATAATGTACAAAACATTGCAATAACAAATTATACCAACACTTGCTATGTATTAAATCATAATATTATCAGTTATTCAAATTACAGAAAAATAACATCTCTAAACATCCACCTGCCCATCCATTTTCTAAACACTTCATCCAATAAATGTTCATGGAGGAGCCAGAGCCTATCCCAGCAAGCAATGGGCACAAGGT